AAAAAAAAAAAAAAAAAAAAAAAAAAAAAAAAAAAAAAAAGGCAGCCAAAATCTTAAAGCACAGTGAATATGAAAAAATAACCAAGCCACTTTTGCCTTAAACTATTTTTTTAAGTTCTCTAGAACAAGCTTCTTCTCCAAACTCCCCATTATTCAATATTATATTCTGAATTATATCAACAGAAATTTAATCACAGCAAACTACTGAACATATTTCAAAAATGCCACTAGTAAACCAGTTGCTTTTAGAGGATAAGGACATTAACAGATTTTCTTTTCTTTTTTTTGGCGGCTAGCCAGTATGGGGATCCAAACTCTTGACCCTGGTGTTATAACACCCCACCCTAACCAACTGAGCTAACCAGCCAGCCCTGAAATTAACAGATTACCTAAAGACAGTAATTCACACTGGGGCTAGAATCAGAGATTTATTAACTCAAAAATATTCAGAACCCTTGCCACTGTGATCTACAGTCCAAATATAGTTTCTGGGACTGGTCAGTTAGCTCATGGTGTGGTGTTGATAACAATAACACTAAGGTCAAGGGTTCGGATCCCATTACCGGCCACATGCCAAAAAAAAAAAGGTTTCTATTCAGATTTAATTGAAATGTAATTTATTTTAAAATTGGATGTTTTGGATTTAAATATTTATGACTACAAATCAATTGAAAAACAAAATAATACATTAAATATCTTTATAATTTTCCTTACATAAAAATCCCAAATGTTTAAACAATTGGCTGAGGTCTCACAGAAAAAAACAAGTTGATAATTTAAATATTATTGCTTAATAAACCTGTAAAAAAATGGCTTGTATGGGAAGTACAAAAAACTGAGGAAATATGTTTAGGAACATTACTAATAATTTAATATGGAAAATCATGTCATCTATTTAGATGACAATGAACTTTATAAATGTTTTGCATTTTAAATTATTTAGCACTCCTAATTAAAAATTTGAGAAATATTAAATTACAACTTCCTTGATAATGAAACAAACTGCTATTCAAGAATGTTTTGTTGTTCTTCATCTACACAAAATTTATTATTAATCATCAAATGAATTTCCCCCCACCTTAGACTCATCAGCAAGCAGAAGGTTGAGGAGAGATGCCATGCTGATCTGAACTGCAGCAGGCTTCACCCTGAGCACGTCCCTGTGGATGAGGTGACCTTAGGTGCCTGCATAAGCAACCATCCTCCAATCTGTGACTGAAGCAGGAACTCAACTGGATGTCTCTCACCCACTACTCACATCTTCAATGACTAACAGGCCATTAACTGCACAATTACAGTTTCAAACATTTACTCTACTTGTCTCCTGTAACCATTAACTACCTGCATTTTGACTTTTCAAAGAGCTTCTTTAGCTGCTGGAATCTTTCTGAGACCTGAAAAATTTTAAATGAGTATTAATTATAAATTTCTCAGTAGTCTTTTATTATCTTTGATGAAAGTTTCACAAAATGTCTAAAGACAGAGAAAGTTACTCTCAATAATAAAGAGATGATGTAATGTTTAAAAAAATGCAATATCGTCATACTAAAGGTGATTGCTAGTTTAACTTTTCAATATTAAACTTTCTTAAACAAGAAATCATCATTACAAAATTGCCTGAGATCAATAAGTAAATGGTAAGACACAGAAAAAAAATCAAGATCATTCCAGTCAAACTTCTTCCACAATTACCAAGTTTTTAACAATTCTACACTGAGTCATACTTTTAAAGAAATTGGCTAAATATCTATGTATTTTAACACATTAAAAATTAAATCTAAGTATTTAGAGTAGCAACATCTGTGAACCAAGAGTTGTAAAAATTGTGTAGTTACCTGAGTTGGATTTTTATTCAATTTGGGAGCTAAATATGTAAATGTTTTTAATGATGGCCCTCTTTTCTGACATTCCAATAAAATTTCCCGATCATCATTTCTGAGGAAGAAAAAACTGTATTTAGCTTTTGTACATGAGAAAAGGTAATAAAAATTCCACTGCCTTAATATCCACCAACAAGAGACATTAAACCCCATAGGAAAATGAAAAAGTTTATATACCAAAATACAGACAACATTTATCTCTCAGAAATAAGATAATAGATGATTTTACTCTTTGTGCTCATATGTATTTCTCAAATTTTCTACAATAAATGTATTAATTTATTTTTCTATGACAAAATTAAAGTTTAGCTTTTTAAAATTCTACCTTTAATGTATACAATACTTAAAAAATTAGGGCTCAAAGACGATCACAGATGTAATAAGCAGAAGAACCAGAACTAAAACAGAATCCAGATCTTCTAATTCCCAGACCTCTGCTTTTTCTAATGGTTTGAACAAATGTGTTATTATAATCTCTGAGATTTTATTCTGCCATCTGCAAGTTACCTGAAATCAGGATTTGAGGATTTCAGTATTAAACAAACCGATCACCAGTTTTAATAAAATTCACCTTCCCCCATTAAGCATTCCAGTCAAGCATGGACATTGTTCACCTCTAGTCCAATGGTTCATAACTGTAGTTCCCTTATGTCTAAAGTAGGGTCTTAAAAATCTGCATTCCTTAAAAAGTTCACATAAAACTCAAAAGTACAATGTATTTATAAAACTATTTGGAAATTTTTAATTTGGGGGAAAAATCAAATTACAAACATTCCCACTTTCTGCCATTTCACCACATCATTCCTTTCTAAAATGTGCTTATACCAGTTCTTTCCAAATGAAAGAATCCTTTTTAATTGAAAATGTGGCTAAAACACAACTAAAAGCTCTATTCATGGTGCTAATGCATACTCCTGGTTAAAGGCCATTGTTCTAGATAGTTTCACAGTACAGCTCGACTATACCCTGGAATATATCTTCAACTAACTTTGGTCACTTTTGAAGTAAGACATCACTTTCATTTTAGAATGGGATAAAACTATGAGGACATGATCTCTCAAAACTTAAATGTCTCACAAGATTCTTACCTTGTCCATGAAACTATAATTTCTCCCTTCTTTTTAATAACATTCTTTGCAGAAAGGATTGTAGGAGAAGTGGCGAGTGCTGCTGCTGAATCCTTAATTCCTGGGCTTGTCTTTGATGAAGGATCTTTATTCACTGCAGGGGCCCTTTTCTTATTGGTTTTCTTTTGATGAGTATCACTATTCTCACCAGAATCCTGGGTAAGTTTCTTGGTCTTTTCCCTAATGGTTAAGTCTGTTTCCTTTCTTTGTTTTTTCTGAGAAAAATGACTTATATCAGAAAGGTTTTTCCTCTTTTTGTGAGCATTATCCAAAGTCCCAGACAACACTGAAGTATCAGAATTTGATGTGGGTTCTGATTTTAAATCATCCTTTTTTATATCACATGAACTGGGAGATTCTGTAATCAAATCGATGTAGGTTTCCTCAACAATGCATTCCAAAGACTTGTTTGACACTTGCACCTTTTCTTCCTTACAATTATCTTCAACTATACATATCACCTGACACTCCAAGCCTTCAACAGCTAACTCAGGACCATCACCATCATTTTTACTTTCGCTTGAAGCCTCTTGTGTCAAATCAATAAAAGCATCTACAGTATCAGACTGCAAAGAATTGTCTAATATTTCAGCATTTTGATCTAAATTGCCTCTAGGACATCCCAACTGATCAATATTTAAAACCGTTACTTCTACAAATTCCCCCAGGTTCTTGGTCTCGGTGACCGGATCTTTTGTTAGGTCTATGTACGTGTTTGGAAGAGGGTCCCTGACTGAGTGTGGAATTTCTTCCATTGAAGGCAATTCTTCAATGCTTTCAGGGACTTTTGGTTCCCATACTTGATGCAACTTGAAACATTCATCAGCTGCTTCATCATTGTGAACCACCTCACCTGAAGCATCTTTAAGAAATTCATATATATCAGGAACCTGTGTTTGTATCATTGAGTTCTGTTCTTCATGACTTGATTTACTGCTATCAACATTTTTGTTGGAATTTTCCAACTCCTCCACAGATTTTAAAATGATGTTCTGACATGAAATATATTCTTTCTCTGCTGCTTCATCAGCTTCCTTTCCAACTCTGGGCAAAGATGCCAGTGACTCATCAGCCACCATATTCTGTTTAAGACCAGGGGAGTTAGAAGGTGCTGCACGTCGTATTTTCACAATGAAGTGGTCATTGGACTTTTCCATTATGACAGCATGCATAGGTAGATTAGGGTGGTACTGAAAGCCTGGAGCAACAGACCGGCTTGTCCATGATGAAGAACAACTTGATTTACTGCTTGAATTATCAGACTCCAGAGCTAAATGGATATCTTGCTCAGATGCATCCTCTTCCTCAAGTAAAGCATCTTCACTAAAATGGGCACTAATAACTTCTTCAGGAGTTGAACTAGACAAAACTTCAGGCTTTAAGAAACTGAGATGACCATCTGACTTCAGAGGTGATGGTACTGTTAAGGAGACTGCTAGATCTTCAAGAAGTATTGAAGAAATACAGGGCTTGCTCTTTTCTGAACTACATACGTTATCTTTACTTAAAGCTATGTTAGTAGACACTTCAAACATACAACTTTCATCTAACACATCAGGATGAACTGGCAACGAAAGCCCCGAAGACAGAGATGGACCTTTTTCAGATGATAATAATGACCAATTATCATCACTAATCATTTTAGGACATGGAGAAGCCACTCCTGAAACTAGCTCTTCTGATGTACAAGCTGGTATTGATTCACACTTAAGACTCTCTAGCAGCTGTTTCTCTGGAGTCTTTAACTCCCACTCACTTTTTTCAGTACAGTTAACACTGTTGTCCAAAAGATCAGAACCTTGCAACAAACTTTTAAATATTTCACCCATCTGCGCATCACTCACTAAATTAAAAGTAAGGCTAGATGCCTGCTGTTCAGTAAGAATCTCAAAACTGCGTTCTGGCTTCAAAGCTGCATGCTGAGAGGTCTGTGCATCCTCTGTGGTGTTGCCTTCAGTTTTTCCTGGCTTTGGAGTGCTCGGACAGTTTAGTTCCAAGTTGTGCTCTTCAGATTGAGAGTTTTTTATATTATCAAAGCAGGCGTTAAAACTTTTTTTAATGTCATGCGTTAGTATGTTAATACTGAAGTTATTTTGGTCTTGATGCTTTTCCTCAGATTTTTTACATCCCAGTAAAGACTTATAATGAACAGAGTTTTCTGATTTTGGCAGTTTTTCTTTTAGCATTTCTTTGTTGAAGTTGCCCACATTCCCCTTCTGACAATTTGAATATTGTCCTTTCTCTGTATTTGTTTTTTCAGGTTTTCCTTCATCACTGTCACTTCCAAAGTTTATGGAATCACAAAACTTTACTAAGATTTTCTTAAGCTTTGCAAACAAATAATCAAGTTGTTCATCTACAAACTTCCACAATTTTTTTTTCATATCTGGTAGCTGCTGTTCAAATAAACGATCAACTATGCCATTCTTTTTAACTTGCTTAAGTTTAGATTCTACAACATCACAGAGATTCTTCTGTAAAGTGGTCACTGACTTAGAGATTTTGGATAAGTTTAAGTGTTTAATTAGTGATGTAAAACTCAAAATTGCTGACTCAATAATTCTATGAAATTGTATTAATGAAAATTTTACCTTGAACTTCATATAATTTTTCCTTACATATTTTCTTATCATTCGTAACATGTGCATAATCTCTCGTACAGAAGAGGGCACAGCAATAATTGGAACTATTTTTTCCAAGCAGGAAGTGTTCATTGTTTTATCTTTCTTCTCTGTTTTTGAAGATCTGCTAGATTCACTTGGTTTTTTATTCCATTTGCTATTGGTCTGATGGATTTTTACAGATGTTTTCCTTTTGTCTTTATCTAAATGCACAGTACTTGTCCTACTTCTTGAGTTAGTCTTTGTGTTCTGCGCTTCTGAAGCTCTAGGCTTGGCACTTTTTCCAAAACTTTTTTGTGGTTTAGATTTTTCACTGTCGCTTACAATTTCTCCTTCTTCTAATTCATCTAAAGATGAATTCTTACAGGACTCTGCTTCTGTACATTTGTCAGATTTGTGAATTGGCTTTTGATTTTCCTTATTGAGATCAGACTGACTCTTGGAGGTAGAATGAGCTGAATCTGGTGGAAATACATCTGTGGAAGAAAAAAGTATATTAAACACATCTATGGAAGATAAAAGTATATTAGGATAACATGACCACTGAGTCTTAGTCATTTGATATTTCCATACTAAATATAACAAAAAACTAAATATTGAGGCAATTCATTATTTTAATAGTTTTTCTTGTTGTTTGTTTGTTTTTAAAGCAGAATGTTCATGCCTAATACTTATTCAAGTCATTAGTCTTTACTGGTCTTAAAAAGTGCTCTGGCCGGTCAAGATGGTGGAAAAGACGGTCCCCAGCATCACACTCTCCCACAAATCAACCAATTTACAACTAAAAAAATGTAACAACAGCCAAGAGGGGGCTGCCGGAGCTCAGGGGAAGAGGAGGAGAGACATACAGAGTTCATGAAAGGGGAGAAGCCTCGATGAGAGAAAGAAAAAACTGCTCAGAGCATTTCGGGCCGCGACCACTTTAATGCTGGAGCTGCTGAGCACATGGACTGGGAGCCGGAAGAAGCCACAGCTGTGCCCTTCGGATGGAGCTGCTTGGAGGAAGCAGGGGAGAAGAGGGCCCTGGTGGCCCCCAGGACAGCAAGACCACTAACAGGGTTCCTGTGGACCCACGCAGGAGCAAGGAACCAGAACAGCTGAAAAAGGGGAGCCACTTAGAGGCCGGTGAGTCATCGCAAGGGACCATTGCAGGACCCGTCCCATGGGAAGTGTTTGGAGCATGGGCAGTGGGGAAGACAGGCCCACCGGGAGAACACTGGGACACAGCAAGGACAGCCAATCCATCCCCCAATCAGTGCAGGACCACTCAGAGGATGGTCGAGAATGCAGAATTGCATGGGGTGCAGTTTGATGAAAAGATTCAGGGCCAGATCAGTTTCTACACAACCCAGGAGCAGGAAGTACCAACCCGGAGCTGCACAAAAAGTCTTCCCTAGGGAAACAGCAGCAAAGCAGCAATTTAGCTCAACAACACAGCTCAAGTGCTTCCCACAGGAAGTGTCGTGTGTGTGTGTGTGTGTGTGTGTGTGTGTGTGTGTGTGTGTCCCCATTAAAAGTAAGCAAAGGAAAAAAAATTAGTTCCAGCCCAGGCACACCACCAGTGCCTGGGGCCCACCAGGGGACCTGAGGCATGCAGCCAGGGATGGGAACCCACTCCCACATCCAGCCACACCACCAGTGCCTCGGGACTCCACCTAGGGGCCCAGAGCTTGGAGCCGGAGACCAGACACCCTGCTCACACCCAGGCATACTGCCAGTGCCTCGGGACCACGCCAGGGGTCCCAGAGCACCGAGCTGGAGACTGGACACCCTGTCCACACTCAGGCACACCGCCAGGGCCTCAGGGCCCCGCCCAGGGGCCCAGGGCTTGGAGCTGGGGACCAGACACACTGCCCACATCCAGGCACACCACCAGCACCTCAGGGCCCCGCCCAGGGGCCCACAGCTTGGAGCCGGGGACCAGACACCCCACCCGCACCCAGGCACACCACCAATGCCAAGGAGCATGCCAAAAAGATCACCTCCATGTGGGTGGCCCACCACAGTAACCATGGCTGCCGAGAAAGTGGCTAGACGTCACAACCACCACACAAGATGGTCTGCCAGACACTGCAGTGCAACAACACAAGGAGAGTCACCAGTAGAGACCAAAGAAAAGAAGAGGATGTCTCTCTCCACAAAGCCCATTCCAGAGTGACAGAAGAAGCATCTGCTCTGTGATTATATTGGGGGACCTGAACACACCTTTCAGCATTGGACAGATCATCTAAGCAACAAATCAACAGAGTAACCATTACTCTTTCAGAAGGAGAAAAGAAATCTAGGGTAGTTAGAGGCGGGAGGGGGAGTAGAGGGGGTTGGGGAGAGATTGGACAAGGGGCATAAAGAATAAGTATGATTTGTAACAATATACATACTAATAATATTGATTTGATCAACATATGTCAACATTCAATCCCAAAAATATGTATAATCAATTATGATTCAATAAAAAAATAAATTAAATAAAAAGTGCTCTGAAGGTGTCTAATAAGTATAGTTTGGTCATTTGGATAATCATCAACCAATCAATCACTCAGTGTATCTTTACTTAATTTTAGCAGTATCACCTACTCTATGCCACTGGATAATAGCTTTTGAACAAAAATACACCTAAAAGCAAGAGTTTTTGAAACAATCTGTCTTACTTCCTACCACTCCCTTTTTTGTAAAAACTAAGAATTACAGTAGTCCACCTTATATGCAATTTCCCTTTCCAAGGTTTCAATTACCTGCATTCAACCATGGTCCAAAAATATTAATAAAAAATTCCAGAAATAAACAATTCACAAGTTTTAAATTGTGTACTGCTCTGAGTAGTATGATAAAATCTCTAATGTGGTCCCACCTGATATGTAAAATCATGCCTTTGTCCGGCACAGACACACTGTATACACTACCTGCTCATTAGTCACTTAATAGCCGGCTCAGTTATCAGATTGACTGTGGAGATATAGCAGCACTTGTATTCAAGAAACCCTTATTTGACTTAAAATGGCCCCAAAGTGCAAATGTAGCGATGCTGGTGATTCGAATATGCCAAAGAGAAGCCATAAAGTGCTTCCTTTAAGTAAAAAGGTATAAGTTCTTGACTTGAAAGAAAAAAATCATATGCTGAGATTGCTAAGATCTACAGTAAGAACGAATCTACAGTAAGAACAAATCTACCACCTGTGAAATTGTGAAGGAAAAAAATACGTGCTAGTTTGCTGTCACACCTCAATCTGCAAAATTACAGCCATGATGAATGGTAAGTGCTTAGTTAAGATGAAAAAGGTATTAACTCTGTGGTGAGAGAAATGAATGGAAAGGTGTTCCAGGGCTGGCCTGTAGCTCACTTGGGAGAGTGTGGTGCTGATAACACCAAGGCCACAGGTTCAGATCCTATATAGGGATGGCCGGTTAGCTCACTTGGAGAGAGTGGTGCTGACAACACCAAGTCAAGGGTTAAGATCCCCTTACCGGCCACCTTTTTTAAAAAAAAAAAAAGAAAGGTGTTCCAAATGACAAAAATCATGTTTGGTACCATCCAGGGTTTCAGGCAACCACTGGGGGTCTTGGAATGTATCATCCACAGATAAGGGGGAACTACTATACCTAAATGTAGACAAAAGGCTCAAAGTACACTTCTAGTTAACAACGGGTTCTGAATAATGTTACTCTTTGTTATTAAAAAGAAAAAGCACATTTATCTTGCTTATCTATTTTACATTCTCACAAACAATGATATAGAAGATAATATAAACCATTACCTTTATGACTGTTATTATATAACGTGACTTGAGATGGGCTTTCCATTCTAAGAACTTTTGCTCCAGGTCTCACTGGACTATTCAGAGGACTGATGGCTTCTGGAATAGGTCTCAGGTGATTAAGGTCAATGCTTAAAACCGAGTTCTCATCATCCTGATATACTGAGTTTGTTTCGCCAATTTCTATTCCATTGTCCATTAACTCAGTCTGCTGAAGTGAAGATTCTAAAGCCTCTTTAGGTAAACAAGGCTCCAAATGACAAGACTTACTCTCAACCAGTGGTGGATCTACAAGAGAAGGCTCAAATTTTGGTTTATCATCTTCTGAAAGAATTATTGGCAAAATGCCAGCTTCTTCAATTGAAGGATACAAAATGCTTTCACTGGTTTCAGCCACCTTTGTTGAAAGAGCCACTTTCATTTCCATATCTTCAGAAATACTACAAGAATTTAAACCATCATTTCTTTTGGTATCCATTTCTGAGCCAAAGTTTTGAGAAACATCTGTTTGCAATACATCCATTACCACAGGAGCTGCTGCCCTTGCATCATTAACAGTTTGTTCCATTTCTGTTGAAGGAAACGAGGATTCTATTTGTTCCCCTTCCAAAGGTGTTGAGAATGAAGTCTTTCTACCACAAATGGGCACTTCACAATGCACAGCATTCTCAACAGATTTAACTAACAAACTATTTTCTCCTTCCATTTTGATCCTGGGTTCAGATGCTGTTGGAAGAGCATCTGTTGGTTCTAGTAACTTTGATTTGGTTTCCTCTGTGATATGTTCACTAACAGAGGGAACACATGTCACTGTCTTAGCTTGCACAGAGGACTCCAGATCACATACACCACTGGACTTGGGAATATCAGTTATTTCATGCTGATTATTCTGAGAAACAGGCTGCTTTTTAGCAGGAGAAAGAGTTAAATTCAATTTTTCCATAAAACTCAACTTTAAGTCTTTGTTTTTTATTTCATTTGGACCACTCTCAGCATTCACTGTGGGCTCTTTATTATCTGCTCCTTCAGAAACTTCATTAGAGACTTTAACTTTATCATTTTTTTGCTCATTTTGTCTATTTAAATCAACACTGGTTTTCTTAGTTTCTTTATTAGTCTTCTGTAAATGTTCCATAGGTATTTTTCTTTTATTTCTCATATGCCTATTTTCTTCTTTGCTTTCTCGTTCTCTTTCCCTCTTATCTTCAGTTCTATGCCTTTCTACTTTTAAAGGTATATTTTCCCATTGGTGCACAGCATCAACTTCCCTGGAGTCAATGTGTTTGTGAGTTCTACTGCTTGAAAGAGAAGATGGACATCTTCCATCTTGAAAACTGTGATTTCTTACACCCCTGTCTCTTTTACAATCTTCCCTTCCTCTTCTCTCTTCTAGATGGTATTTACTTGAATTATGACAAGATTTTATTTCATTCTTGGAATGAGGAAGTGATGCTCGTTCATTGGATGTTCTTCTCCAATGATCCTGGTCCTTTACTACTGACTTAGGTTTTTGATCAACTTTTCTTTCTTCTTTATCTTGTGATTTAAGTTCTTTTCTATTTATATTTTGTGATCTTTCACTTTGTCTTTCTAGTTTTTTGTCACTTGGAGATTCTACTTGAGTGTGTAACCTTTCTCTAGAGGTTTCTTTCTCCCACGAAGAGCTAATGCGTTCACTTTTATAATCCAAATCTGTGTTACTTTTAAACTTTAAATTTTTGTTTTCAGTCTTTGGTTCACTTTTACCATATTTCTGAGGACGTCCTTGTAACCTCTGACTACCCTCCATGTTCCTTGGTTCACCATCACCATAGCTAGTATTTAAGTCTTTTCGCATTCTATCAGTTCCTCTGCTATACTGGCTATGTCTAGTATCTTTTCTCCCTCTTCTATTATCCTCATTTGAGTTACCCTCACCAACCTGATAATGTGAACGTGACCAAACACTGTTTGTGCAGTGTTTGTCAACAGATGTAGGTAAATGCGAAGTGCTCTTTTTTTCACAACGTGATTTTCCTTCCTTTTCCAGGTTTGGTAGTGAAGTGCTATGATGTACATCTTTAGACACATCACTTTTAACTCTGTGATCAGTCTTTGAACAGTCTTCCAAATGGGGAGATCTAGACTTAAAATCTTTTGTTTTAACTGTATCTGATGTCCTTGTAGTTTTATGATTATTTCGAAAATGTGGAAACTCAGACAATCTATTGAGGAAAAAAAAATCAACAAGAACAAAAAAACAAAGTTAATTGATATTTAATAATATTCCAAATTTTATTCACAAGTGACATTACTTTTAAAATTTGGGGACTCTTAACTAGTTTTAAAAAAAATTGGGGACCCACACACCGGCAAAACAAATTTTACTTTGTATAAAAAGCGAGTGATTAAGAATTTACCAGTTCCCAACTAAATGAGCCAGTTTTCAAAACAAGGAAGTCTCTTTCACTTGCTTTGCTCAAAGGAAATCTTGAGGACCTGTCAGATCTATCCCAGCACTTGCCAATGTCTTTTAGACTTCCTTTTCCACAGGTGAACAACTACCAAACTACCACAAGTTCACTTCTTTTAAAACAAGTGACATTACCTTCTTGCCTTCATTCACTCTATCCCAACTGAAACAGAAGGAAAAGTGAAATCTTGCTGGACAACAGACATAATCAAAGTAGAACTCTACATAATTCCCTATCCTGCTTTTCTGTTTCACATACAATCCCATAGTAAGCCAAAGCATCAACAGCCATCTTAAAGTGGTATATGTGAGTGTTGTACAAAAATAAAAATGAATATAGAGTTGTGATTCTTTCCTAGGAAAATGGTATGTAACTACTGTTTTTAAAAAAAAAAAAAACCTAAATCTTAAGGTTTTATATTAGTATTTAAGAAAACTGATAGTTTTTCTAGCAATAAAATGCAGATGGTTCAGTTCATCTTTGTGTAATAAGTTCATCTTCCTGAACTTCCATAATGTCCCTGAATTTTCATAAATCTATTCCTAATAAATATTGAATGTGTCAAAAAAACCCCAAATTAAAATACTCCCAAATAAGGAGAGATTATTATAAAACAAAAGAGGACTTAGGAGACATACAACCTAAGGCAATGTGTAGACCTTATGTGGATCCTGTTGTGGGTTGAATTGTGAGGTCCCATGTCCCTCTGCCCCAAATTCATGTTAAAGTCCCAACCCACAATACCTCAAAATATGACCTTATTTGGAGATAGGGTCTTTACAAAAGTAATCGAATTAAAGTGAGGTCATTAGGGTGGGCCCTAATCGACTATAACTGGTATCCTTATAAAAAGAGAAAATTTGAACAGAACAATACATATAGAGGAAAGATGATATGAAGAGACAGAAAGAAGACCACCATCTACAAACCAGGAAAGAGGCCCAGAACAGTACTTGCCTTCAGAACCCTCAGGAAGAACCAACCCTGCAGATACCTTCGTTTTGGAATTCTAGTCCTAGAAACTATGAGACAAATTTCTGAATAAGCCACCTGGTTTTTGGTATTTTTGTTAAGGTAGACCAAGGAAACTAATAATAAGACCCTGACTCAACGAACCAACTGTTAGAAGACACCTTAGAGGTAACTGGGGAAATATGAACCCCTAAAGCACTAACCATAAAAGAAAAACCCCCAATAAATTGAATTTCACTAAAATTAAGAACTTCTATTCCTTAAAAGACACAATTTAAAAAGTGATAGGCAAGGCACAGAATGGGAGATATTTGCAATACATTTATCCAACAAAGGACATGCATTCAACAAAGGATATGTGTGTGCAATGTGCATCATACTTATTAAATTATAACCTTCTTCAAGATAGTTCTAGCCCACAGAGCTTATAACACATATTTAGTATAGTTACATATTAAATAAAATTCTAACACCAAAAGTTTTATTTTAAAATATATATTCACATTAGACATTTCCCAGAATTCATACTTTTTAAATTTTCTGTATATTTTCACCTTACTAATATTTTTCTATTCATTAAACATTAAACCAAATGGTAAACATTTACCACTATAACAGTAGTTACAGCTTACAAAAGTGTAAATATTTGGCAGAGCATTTACTAGATAATGTATAACTACATCAAATAATCTAATGACATATAATGCCCATCATTTATTCACCCAGTTTCTCTTTTCACCCTGTACAAACATCATGCTCCTCCCCTAAAAGACTCAAATCTCAATGTAATTGTGAATAGCACCCCCTTCTACTTTCCAAAGTATCCTGGTTTTAACAATAAATTAAATGGTCACTCTTCTTCTGGGTCTCTAGATTGTACTAACTAAATAAATGATGGAACAACCCACTGAGCAATGATGGAACAATAAATGGTGGATAAATGATGGAACAATGAAAGAGGTTTGGCGATAAATTCATTTTTGGATGAGGTAATTTTGAAAAACCTTGAAGACATTATGTACAGATGTGAAGTAGTTATCTACATATGAATGGAAGTGCCCTAGCATGGGCAAGATTACCTCATAAGAAAATACTGATAAAGAAAGAAAAAGACATAGGTTTGAGCTTTGAGGACCTCCAACTTACAACAGCTAAGTACAGAAGAATAAACCTCAAGTTAGGAAGAAAACCAAGAATCATTACATCACAAAAACCAAAGGGAGGGCCGGTCCATGCCTCACTCGGGAGAGTGTGGTGCTGATAACACCAAGGCCACGGGTTCAGATCCCATATAGGGATGGCCGGTTCGCTCACCGTGAGCGTGGTGCTGACAACACCAAGTCAAGGGTTAAGATCCTCTTACCAGTCATCTTTTTAAAAGAAAACGAAAAACAAAAAAAACCCAAAGGGAGACACTGTTTCAAGAAGGGAAGGTCACTATGCCAAACAGTGTGCAAGGGCAAGTTAAATGTAAAATCAAAACTACTGACGGGGAGTGGCCGGTTAGTTCAGTTGGTTAGAGCACAGCCTTGTAACACCAAGGTCATGGGTTCAGATCCCCTTACCGAACAGCCACCAAAAAGAAAAAAAAACTATTTGATAGATTTAGTATCAATCACTCTTGACAATGACAGCTGTTTTGGTAGACCAATGCAGGCAGAAATCAGACTGGACTGGGTTCAAGAGTGAGTAGAAAGAGAGGAAATGGAAACAGCAAGTTTAGACCACTATTTCAGAGGTTTGGCTATGAAGGGGAGGAGATGAACTTCTTTGGAGTAGAATATTGCACCCAACCAAAAAAGAGAGAGAGAAATTAGTGAATAAAATCCACTTGAAGGGCTGGCCCATGGCTCACTCGGTAGAGTGCGGTGCTGATAACACCAAGGCCACGGGTTCGGATCCTATATAGGGATGGCCGGTTTGCTCACTGGCTGAGCCTGGTGCTGACAACACCAAGCCAAGGGTTGAGATCCCCTTACCGGTCATCTTTTAAAAAAAAAAAATCCACTTGAGAGGGAAAAGAATATACAATTGAGAGATAGTTTATGGGCTGTTATTAACAAAAAATGTGAGCACAGATGCTTTCTTGATATTTCCAAATTGATAACTTGGATTTGGCAGGGACCTAGAAGAAGCCATGACATACACACTACCATCTTCTCAGGGGCAAACAGTACTAGAGCAAAATCCCAATATTTTAGAAAACTGAATATATTCAGAAAGATATGAAGCAATGTTCTACTAATAATCATATATATACATCATTATGATGATATACCTTTAGAATAATAGTCACTACTCACATTAAAACCTTCAATATTTAATAAAATGCATGATTTTCCTCTGTCCACTCACAGTTAAAACATTCCACATAATCAATATCCATGTCTTTTTTTGTTTGTTTTTTTGGCAGCTGGCCGGTAGGGGGATCCAAACCCCTGACCTTGGTATTATAACACCTTGCTCTAACCAACTAGATACCCATGTAATTTATAACAGATCTACACATCTCAGTTATACCTCTGGTGAAGATTATTTATTTCTTCATCCTTGCGGTTTATTTCCACTCTGGCAGTTTTGATAAGTGCTGAAATATTCTTCTTAAGAGACTGGTTTTCATTTTTTAAGCTGAAATTCTAAAACACCATAAAATATATTAATAAAGCACATATCTACAGGATTATTAACACTACTACTTATATTAACAAATAATTATTAAATGCTAACTACATGCCAGGCATCATGCATTTTATCTTATGTAATTCTCAAAAAAGCCCTTTGAGAAGTATTATTATCCCAATTATACAGATGGGAAGGTGAGATTCAGAGAAGATAACTGGCACCAGAAAAAGCCCACTTAAAGTGAAACTACTTAAAACAGGAATCAAAATGAAAAAACAATAAACATCAGGAAAAAAAAGTTTTGCCTGGGTCATTATCTTGAAAATTGAAAATGAAAATTATTTTAAAAATTTTATTAAATTTAACAACTTAGTTTAAACTTGCAACAACGTATTAGTTCTCAGATAAACAAAGAATGAATCTAGAGTTGACTGGTTCTTCCAGGGGAAGGGGAAAGAGACACAATTTTACCAAAATCTAAGAACCAGAACAGTATATGACATTCCTGATTTTTGTAGCCCAATCATAAAAAGGGTCATTCTGGTCAAAGACTGTGATGACATCACCATTTTTGCTCCAAAGAAATTCTAAATCTTTGCTCTTCAAACATTCTCTTTTATATCACCTCTCATCACCTCTATCAATTTCCTGTCATTTAACTACTAATTGGTCTAACATCAATGTCATTTAACAACTCAAGCAGTTTTCCTATATCAATTTCATCAACTCAGGAAATAAACCATGTTTTGCCAGATTTGCTATTTCATTTAATACTTTTTTTTTTTTTTAAAGATGACCGGTGAGGGGATCTTAACCCTTGACTTGGTGTTGTCAGCACCACGCTCTCCCAAGTGAGCTAACCGGCCATCCCTATATAGGGATCCGAACCTGTGGCCTTGGTATTATCAGCACCACACTCTCCCAAGTGAGCCACTGGCAAGCCCTCATTTAATACTTTAAAAAAAAAAGGCTTTCTTTTAAACTGCCAACATTTTAGCATTTTAATTTCTAACAAAAAAAATTTTTAATTTCGATTTTAAAAAGTAAACAAGGCAATAAATAAAATATTTATTATAATCCTACCTGTGTCTGTATTTCCTTAAACTTTTTCATCAGCTCTTTCATTTGCAGCTGACATTTTCCATATTGTACCTGTAACTATAAAAGGACTAATGTAAGCATTATTCTAAATTATTTTTTTTATCTTAAATGGTATTTCAAAATATTTAAAATTTTGTAAATCAACCCACTAAGATGATATATGAAGTCTACTTCTACTAATAGATATTTAATAAGATAACTGGTTTTTAAAGTGGCAGAAAAAGCATCTGCTCTATGATAATATCGGGGGACCTGAACACACCCTCTCAGCATTGGACAGATCATCTAGGCAACAAATCAACAGAGTAACCATTACTCTTTCAGAAGGAGAGAAGAAATCTAGGGTTATCAAAGGCGGGAGGGGGGAGAAAGAGGGGGATAGGGAGAGATTGGACAAGGGACATAAAGAATAAGTATGATTTCTAACAATACATATGCTAGTAATATTGATTTGATCAACATATGTCAACGCTGAACCCCAAAACTGTGTAATCAATTCTGATCCAATAAAAATTTTAAAATAAATAAATAAATATTAACAATTAAAAAAATAGACATACTAAATGGTCAACAGGATGATTAATTAAAAGCCACTAGAATAGTTAACAACATAAAAAATAAAGAAAGAAAGAAAGAAAGATGAGCCTACCAATAGCATGTTTTGTTTAGCTTCACATTCAATCTCCTAGCCTTAAAATTTAAATACAGTTGAAACAAATTTGTCACATTAAAGTCTCAGGACATTTCACGCAACATACAATGTAACAGAATAAATCATGAAAAGAAAATGTATATCAATCACTGATTGCCTATTGAAGTTTTATATATTCAGACACTTAAATATTCTTTCATTTCTAGGTCTAAGAGCTAATTCCCAAACGCAGAATATTTGTTCAATAATAAGCTGCTGCCTGCTCTTCAGGAGCTATTAAAGATTAAATAAATGTCCTTAATAATTGTGGCACTCCATACATCATTATATGTTGCCTCCTTTGCAGTTCCTTCTTCAGTCAGGATCTCTTCATATAAATCCAGACAATTTCTGGATGGTACACAGGATTTAGAAGTACTGTCTAAAATAAACAAACAAAAAAAACTTATATTAAAATAATTTATAAGCTTTTTGCTGTTGTGTCTACCACAAGGGTTACCTCAATCTCCTACATTTAATCCAAATCTATACTAATTTCACAGATACCAGTTCACCTAAAATGGTTGTCAACAAAACCAGGTGTAAGGATCACATTTGTTCAAAACTTTGAGAGATTTGATTATGGAAAGGTTTCTAATTTGGATAGGTCATTAGACTCTCTGCATATCACTCTTACTGATACATTTGAAAATATTTGTAGTAACTACACTTTTCATATATTCTAATGTCACGTAACCTGCGATGGTATGAGCAATAATATATGCACAAACACCAGCACCAGTTAGGTAAATGATACGAAATATTTTGCACAAGGTCCAATTACATCTGAGACCTAGATGAATAACAAACCTTTGTGCTAATTTGTTTTACTGATGAAGCTTTCAGCAAGAAAATAATTATATCTGAGTGTAATCATTTCCAGGAATGGGTAAATTGTTTAGGAGCTGAGTTATACCAGGAACTGGTAACAAAAAAACAAACACAAACAAATTGATCAAACAAAATGAAACTATTTTATGGAATTGGCATACCAGAAACAGCACTGTCCAACCCAGCATATATATCCAATGAACCTTCATCATTATTTTTAAGAGGAGAAGCTGCAAGAAAAACAAAGATTAATTAAAACTGATTTTATGCACTGATGTTTTTCCATTCCCACTCTGAAGGACCAGGAAAGGAAAAAGATTTTATTAGTTTTACTCTAAAAAAAGAGACAAGTTTTCCTACATGCTTCTTAACAGAAAGATTGGTTAGAGCACAGCCTTGCAACACCAAGGTCACAGGTTCAGATCCCCATACTGGTCAGCTGCCAAAAAAATAAATAAATAAAAATAAAAATAGATAAATAAGTAAACAAAGATCTTGGCACACAGATTTATGACTTGACTACCTCAGATTTAGATTTTAAAAATTCACTTTCAAAAATATACTATGGGCTGGTTGGTTAGCTCAGCTGGTTAGAGCATGATGTTATAACACAAAGATCAAGGATTTGGCCAGCCATCCAAAAAAAAAAAAAAAAAAAAAAAAAAAAAAAAAAAAAAAAAAAAAAAAAAAAAAAAAAAAAAAAAAAAAAAAAAAAAAAAAAAAAAAATACTAGCTAAAAGGTTCCAATTCCCACAATAGCAGAGTAGGTTCTATCAAACCAATCTTCCTGTAGATAACAACTATAAACACTGAACAAATATTAAAAGCTATCTAAAGAGCTGGAGAGTAACCCAAATGAGGCAAAACCTGAAGGGAAAAAAACACCTGAAAGAAGATAGTACTGCATGAGTTCCCTGTTCCTCTTTTATTACTGCTATTTCTTGAAGGTCAGGTCCTGGATGGATCCACAATGGACAGGAAAAGCTCAGATGGAAATCTCCAATCCTAATATCTTGAAGAACCAGAGGAAAGACTTTGGGGTGATAACAACTAAAAATGAGAGGGGAAATCCAGAGAGCCACAGAAAGGATTCCTCAAATTCTACCCAAATCTCAACATAACATTTACTATCTAGGTCTTTTATCTTAATTCTAATTATGCTGTAATCTCATCAAATATAGATTAAACAGAATTATGATTACTATGCTACAGAGTGAAAAAGAACAGTTATAAAACATGTTTTGTAGGGGCCGGCCTGTGGCTCACTCGGGAGAGTGCGGTGCTGATAACACCAAGGCCACAGGTTCGGATCCCATATAGGGATGGCCAGTTTGCTCACTGGGTGAGCGTGGTGCTGATAACACCAAGTCAAGGGTTAAGATCCCCTTACCGGTCATCTTTTTAAAAAAAAAAACAAAAAACAAAACATGTTTTGTAGAATTCCATTTTTGCTTAAAATGTTTTTAAAAATTAATATGCATTGATATGGAAGGGTTCACACTAAATACAGCCAACATAATCACTCTGGGTAGGGTTACTTGTTGTTACTTAATTATTTTTGCTAATGTCATTTTAAGTTGTTACACCTGCTATGCAGTTCTCCTACGATGTTTTTTCTCTGAAAAATTTTAAACCAACAGAAAACTTGAAAGTATAATATAGCATAATATAATGAATACATTTTTCACCTGGATTCACAAATGGTTAAACTTTATCACATGTGCAACTCTATTAAATTTTAAAGGACAAAACTACATTGTTAATCTCATTGCTGGAAAGAGCTGTTTTCATTTCTATGTATTACTCTCAAGTCCCTGTCCATTCATATACATTTTTTACTACTGACAGCCATACTGTACAGTGTACTTTGTATTTAGCTTTTTACCACTTAACATAATTTCACAAAATTTTTTATTCCTATGGCATTTCCATAATTGTTTTTTATTAAATTTGTCTGGAAATAATTTCAAACTTACAGAAAAGTTGCAAGAATAAGAATACACAAAGAACCCCTTACTCAGTTTCTTCCAAATTTACCTCTTGTTAATATTTTATGTCAGTGTCTTTATCATCATGCACAGACTCTCTTTTTAAATACACACATACACAGAATTTTTTCCTGACCCATTTGAAAGTAAATTGCATACATTATGGCCCCTTTACCCCTAAATGCTTTGGTGTGTATTAAAAAAAAAAATTCTATTCTTTTCTTTAAAAAAAAATTTTTTTTATTCTTTTTTTTATATTTCATAAGAAAATATTTCTATCTTATGAGCTTATTTACTAGCAGGTCTTGGTTATCTCTTTTTCAAACTAATCATCTGTCGTGACTAATTTTTCCCTGAACAACAATAATTTACCATTATTGCATTTACTGGAAATATTAACTTCAAGTCTGGCCAGTTAGCTCAGTTGGTTTGAGCACAGTCCCGTACAGCAGAAACAAACACAAACAAATTGATCAAACAAAATGAAACTATTTTATGGAATTGGCATACCAGAAACAGCACTGTCCAACCCAGCATATATATCCAATGAACCTTCATCATTATTTTTAAGAGGAGAAGCTGCAAGAAAAACAAAGATTAATTAAAACTGATTTTATGCACTGATGTTTTTCCATTCCCACTCAAAAAAAAAAAAAAGAAAGAAAAAGAAATATTAACATCAAGAGTAATAAATACCTAACTTGTAAATTTTTGGACATGACAATAAAAATCATTGCCATTCATATTGGTAAAATTGTAACTTGATTACATTTAGAGGCTTGAAAGCATACAGTAACAAAGTTCATGTTTACTATGAACTCCCTATGTGCCAGGCATTTTGCTGTATTAATTTATTTATGCGTGGGGAGAAAAAGTTGATAATGACAGTGTTTCCAATGAGAATAAGTAAATGATTTTGTAATTTAAAAATTGTGTGAATTTAGAAAGACAACTTAAAGTAGCTCTTACCTGAAAAGACATCAAATAAACTTGTTCCATCACCATTGTCATCATCTGCTGCCATGATTTTACTTCCTTTCAATAGTTGCCATTTAAGGTATTAAATATAAAGATTTTCCACTGTTAAAATCAAAAAGAAAGAAAGAAAGAAAGAAAAATTCATTCAAAAAAATGTTACAAACCACTTAGACCTAATAGAAAAACGGGTAAAAGACACAGACAATTCATAAAAATAAATAAAATAAAATGGTTTTGGAACTAAAAGATGTTTGAGCTCATTAATAATGAAAGAAATGCAAATTAAAACACGACACCATGTTGTACAGGAAAGCGTTGGCATAGTCAGGTCTGACTACCTATCCTTAATAAGGCTTGCTTATAAAGGCTCTTGGCTAGAGTCCAGGCACCTGGTTTTCTGGAGGGTTCCCACAATTCCCAGAACCAATAAAAAGTGGCTCATTGTGGCTAAAATGTTGATAAAAACAATATGGTTTATACTAAACACCTGCTTTCCTTCTGGGAGTCTGAAATGTCAGTACGTGCCAGACAGAGGCATTAACTGCTCATCTCTCAATCACATTACATGTTGTATTAACAGTTCTTCATAGTTACTTCTGAGAATAATATATACAGTGCAGAGGATTGAATGGCCCCCTAAAGTCATTGGAGTTTAATCCCCACTTTAACTGTTTAAGGTGGGAAATCTTATTATGGTAATTGAAAGGTAGAGCCTTAAGGAGGTGATTAGATTCTGAGGACCATGATCTAGTGAACGGATTAATAACGGTGGTCGGGCTGGCCCATGGCTCACTTGGGAGAGTGTGGTGCTGATAACATCAAGGCCACAGGTTCAGATCCCTATATAGGATGGCCGTTTAGCTCACTTGGGAGACCGTGGTGCTGACAATACCAAGTCAAGGGTTAAGATCCCCTTACCAGTCATCTTTTTTTTTTTTTTTTTGTCCTTTTTGAGACCGGCTGCACCGCGCTCAGCCAGTGAGTGCTGTGAGCGTACCAGTCCTCCCTATATAGGATCCCAACCCGCGGCGGGAGCGCTGCTGCACTCCCAGCGCCGCACTCTCCCAAGTGTGCCACGGGCTCGGCCCTACCAGTCATCTTTTAAAAAAAAAAATATTAATAATAATGGTGGTCATGGGTGTGGTTCTGAAGGCTTTAAAAGGAGAGAACGTGAGAATCTCTCTCTGGTCTGCCATTCTGTCATGTAAGACCCTGGCATCACTGTCACCACCAACAAGGTCTTCACCAGATGCATTCCCGGGACATTGGACTTCCTCTGAAACTGTAAGCAATAAACTTCATTATCTTACAAATTACCCAGTTCCAGGTATTTTGTTATAAGCAACAGAAATGGACTAATACAGAGTAATATTAAAAAGTCATGAAAAGAAGTTATGTATGTGGTTTCTCATTATATATTCACCAAAAAGTTAAAGGGACTATGACAGTTATGTCTCTCATCCAAATCCACCTTTCTATGATAATGGAATTAGGCCTTATAAAATATTTTTCCTTTACTAACTGGTACATTGTCAATCCTTAACAATAGAATGGTGGAGGGACACTAAAAGACGAAAGGGGATTCTCTTGCTAGTTTCAGTTCACGTGACCTGACTAGCCAGGCTCCAGCGTTCTCCAGCATTCAGTTCTTGCAGCAGACATAGTTTGTCCAGCACTAGGCTCCTGCAAGGCAGTCACTTCCTATAAGTAAGGTTTCTATTATGACTGGCTCCTGCAGGACACAACTTTCTCCTGCTAGGTTCACAGAGAGGGCAACTTCTCCAGCTCATGGATCCTGCAGCACTTGACAGCCAGCAGCATCCAGAAGTTTCTCTATGCAACTCCTCTACCAGATTCAGAGCACAGTGTCACTAGCAAGGTACTTAGCAACTTCTCTACCATCCAGTTTGCCCCCTACCATGCTCTTTCCACGAGGTCCTGCAGTGGGAAAACAAAGCTCTTTTTTGGACAATCTATCTCAACCCTAAAGGTAACAGCCGCTCCCTACACTTGCTATTCCTATATTCTCTAGTTTCTTTAGTTATCTTTAACTCTTGCTAGCCAATTCCCAGTTACTCCAATCCTCTGTTAATAAGTCTTTATACTAAACATTTTTTTTTTCAAATTACTATGTGGTTTTTGTCTCCTGACTGGATCCTATCTGATACAGGTAAATAGTCACAATACAGATTTTAAATACACGTTAACTCTGCTGATCAAGCAGTTATAAAAACTTAAGGCTGTAGCTGTGAATACAAAATTGACAGGTTTGATCTGATGATTTTATATCCCTGCATGCCACAATTAAGAGAACTTACAGGGCCAGCCCATGGCTCACTCGGGAGAGTATGGTGCTGATAGCACCAAGGCCACGGGTTTGGTTCCTATATAAGGATGGCTAGTTGGCTCACTGGCTGAGCGTGGTGCTGACAACACCAAGCCAAGGGTTAAGATCCCCTTTCCAGTCATCTTTAAAAAAAAAAAAGAGAGAGAGAGAGAGAGAGAACTTACAAGGGCTGACTGGCTAGTTCAGTTGGTTAGAGTGCAGCCTTATAATACCAAGGTCACAGGTTCAGATCCTCAGACTGGCCAGCCACCAAAAAAAAAAAGGAATCAAATTTCCCAATTCATTTAGAAATTTAAAAACACAGGTCAAAGAACAAATATTAATGGAAACTCAGAAAAATACAGAACTGAACAACAATGAGCACACCAGAGACTATTTGTGGGATATAATCAAAATAGTATTTTTTTTAGAGGAAAAGTGATAGCATTAAATAAATACATAGGGGAAAAAGACAAAATATTAGTAAGGTCATCATCCAACTCAAGAAATTAGAAAATGAACAAAGTAAACCCAAAGAAGGAAAAACATAAAGAGCAGAAACTAATAACAAATAAGCACTAGAAAGATCAATAAAAATAAAACCTGGCTCTTTGAAAAGAGAAATAGGCATACCCCTGGCAAAACTAATCAAGAAAAAGAAAGGAAGCTCAAACTTTAGGAATAAAACAGGAATGATTGTTTCACACATACTAGAGATTGAGTTACTAACAAAATACTATTGAAAACTCAGTGAAATGAAGCTTCTCATAAAAATGTAATAGGCCGAAATGGACTCAATAAGAACCAAAAACATCCACATACCTAAGACGATTAAATAATTTGATATGGTGGTCTACTCACAAAGAAACAACTAGACGTAGACAGTTTTACAGATGAAGTCTACCACACTTTCAAAGAACAGATAAAAGTTAATCTATTTGAGACAACAGGGAAAAAAAGGCAAATAGGCAAATACTTTGATGACATTACCACAGACTTGATATCAAAACTGGTCAAGGATAGGGCAAAACAGGAAAATTACAACACAGGAAAACTACAAACCAATCTTTCTTATGAATACAGAAATAGCCTAAAAAAAAAAAAATCAGCCAACTGAATCCAGCAACACTTTAAAAAAACACTATGGATATGTGAAATTTATCCCCCAAAATGCAAGAATGGTTGAACATTAAAAAATCAATTAGTATACTGGGCCGGCCCGGTGGCGCACTGGATAGTGCGCCGCTTGGGAAGCGCAGCGGCGCTCCCGCCCGCGGGCTCGGCTCCCACATATGGACCGGTTCCCGCTCACTGGCTGAGCGAGGCGCGGGAGCAACGCCGAGGGTTGCGATCCCGTTGCCGGTCCCCGGTCCGGTACGGGGGCAACACTGAGGGTTGCGATCCGTTGCCGGACACGGAAAAAGACAAAAGACAAAAAAAAAAAAAAAAAAAAAAAAAAAAAAAAAAAAAAATCAATTAGTATAAGCACTGTATTCTAGTTGATAAAGTTGGTTCCCACAGACATATGAGTTAACCATTCTGATATGAGTTAACAATTCTGATACTGTTACACATGTGCATTGGAACACTCCCTGCACTGGCCAACTGCAAAAAAAAAAAAGGAATTGAACAATGTAAGCATATGGGTGGCAGATCATGGCAGGTTTCTCACTATTGGAGTGGGAGGTTATCAAAAAGCAAGGGAACAGGCTGAATGATCCATGTGATAATGGATTGGAGTTGAAGACATCATAAGAATCATGATTATCTTAATATAGATACAGATGATTAGATATAGAAATATTTATAGGTATGTGTATGTATCTGGGTTAGTATACATATATATATTTCTTTTTTTTTTTTTTTAAAGATGACCGGTAAGGGGATATTAACCCTTGAATTGGTGTTGTCAGCACCATGCTCACCCAGTGAGCTAACTGGCCATCCCTATATGGGATCCGAAACCGTGGCCTTGGTGTTATCAGCACCATACTCTCCCTAGTGAGCCACGGGCCAGCCCCTACATACATATGTTTCTTAACTCTATTTGCTGAGAGGGCCTAAAATAAACAACACCCCAGTAGCACATGTACTATCCAGAATCTTGGCTTCTAATACTATTCGCCATTAAAATGAACCAGGGCTCCTTGGAGAAATGGCTGATTCTAAAAATGGGGCAGGAAGTACACAAGATGAGCATGGAACACCTCACAGTGCCAGAAAGTAAGGAAATGCTCAAAAAAAAAAAAAAATGATGGAAGTATGTCAAAGGGGCACAGGAACCAACTAAAAGAATTCCCAACGGCAAAATGTAGAACAATTTGAGCAACAAATGTAGTACTAGATTATAAAACAGTATTGGAGGAGCTGGCTGGTGAGCTTGGTTGGTTAGAGCACAGCCTTATAACCCGAAGGTCACAGGTTCAGATCCCTGCACCAGCCAGCCACCAAAAAAAAATTAAAAATTAAAATAAAATAGTATTAGATTATAACCCAAAGTATGAAATAAATATGAGTACATACTGATACAAGTAAATTAGTAAACATGGGAGAAAAGACAAATCCTCCATGCAGAAGAATTTCAAATAAATTACATAGATACTCCACTCTAAAGGAGGGAGAGACTTTCAGATTACAGTATTGGGGGGGGGGAAGAGTAACTTTACAATGAAAAACACTGACAAACACTACTTCAGCCAGGTGATCAAGGTCAACATTAACAGTCATAAAATCATGTTGACAGTATGTACTCTTTTTTTTTTTTCCTTTGGTGGCT